GGCAAAATCAATTTTCAAGGTGTAATTTATTTTAAAAAAATTGTGGCGAAAAATTCAAAATATGAATGTCGAGTAGTTTGTTTTTCTTAGTAGTACGGTTCCACGTTTCACATTAAGCTCTACGGCCAAAAACTGGCAGTGTATTTGTTAAATAATTACAGTATTACGTCCCTCTTAAATGTCGTCACTTTTATACCAGTAATGTGCGAAGACAGGGATGTTGTCATGGGAAATTTTTAATTTTACACTAGATAAAAATGAAAATTTTAACATTTGTAACCCTCCCTGAGAATCTAGGCTCGCTCATTACTGTTTTATACGTAAAACAACAACACAAAATATAGCTCTCTTCTGGCGACACAATTGAGTCCCCTAAAACAAATAGAAATGAGTACGTTTTAGGTGTATTACATTCTATTTTGTTTCGAGTGTTTGTTGTTGGGCCGTCGAAAATTGCTGCTATGTTAGAATTAGTGACTATTAACCAACCATATTTTGACATCTCTCCGAGACCATACAAAAATACCAAAACATAATTAGAAGTGACCCATCATATAGTATAATGTCTGAAAACGTTAATTATATTCTGTAAATTATTGAATGGCAATGAATTTAACGAAACTAACGAATATTCAAGTAGATTAATCCATAAAATTTCAAGTTGATGTATAACCAATACTACGCATTTATCATTTCAAATGTGAATTCGATGAGAAATGAAATAAGTGTTCAGCCAAAGCAATCACTCATCAGTGTTATGATAATCCATGCTTCTGAATAAATCTCACGAAAAAATCGAATATTTTCACGTTTATCGTGTTTATGCTGATCGCTTGAATGTTCAAAACTTTGCATTTGCTGTTGTTTTAGTAGACTTTGTAGATCATTCAATGTGTCGGCCATTGTATTCAAAAATATAGCAATATAGCACCATCGCGCTCTTATTATCAACAGTGCAATTATTACTATGGGTTGCATGAAATACTTTTCATTATTCAATTCGTGCAATGGTGTAAATAAACTTGCAGCAGCCAAAACCACGGCAAACGTGAAAACAAAAACGGTTTGTTGGATATACTTTACACGTCTTGCTTTATAATCCGTTGTATGATTGAGTTGTGTAGCAAAAGTTTTATCAATTGCTTGGAATTTTTCATAAATCTCTTGTTCTCGCTTTCCATTGAATAATGTCTCGATATGTGACATTGAATGTATTATAAAACCACCGATAGTAGCCAAAATATTTACATAATTCATCAATTGACTTTCTTTGTGTTTGGTATATCTGTTTTCAGGTGAACTTTCCGAAGCCTTAATTGCACATGAAATAATAATCGCAATATGGAGTGCAGAAAAAACAATAAAATACATGACATATGCTATGAACTGTAAAGGATTGCGACAAAGAGTTGAACGAAAAATGGAATAATGTGCAACACAAAGTACTTGGAATACTGTAGTAAACGGTTTCCAAAAGTCTTCAAATTCGTTTAAAACTGCTGCTCTTGTCGCAGAATTCATTTTGAATTCTTTTTAAGTGAATAAGCACGAAAAGACTAAAAGAGAAAGATCAGAAAACAAAATGGCAAAGGGATTTTGTGTAATGAAATTGCAATAATTACCATTAAATCTTTAAAATAATTTTTCCGTTTGCACCGTAAATTTCATTTGAAATACTTTTTGAGTGATTTTTAACCCTTAACCGCACAGGCTAAAACAGTAACGTAAGCGCACAGGTGGGGTCTTTTTGGACCCATGAGAAATTTCATACAAAACTTATGCAAAATGGTATCCAATGAGTAAAATATGTCATTTTATAGTTAAACCATAGCTTATTCCTTACTTTCCAATACAGCATCACAATTTAATATTGATTTTTATGGAAAAAAAATCAATTATAGCCAAAATGCTTGGTAGTTATTGATATGTACGACTTTCAGACAGTCGTGTCTTTCACTAATATCGCTAATCGACAGTCGTTGGCCAGTTAATGTGCTTCGTGTACTGCGCCGAACTACCTCTCGATATGTGAGATCAATATAGATCGAGTCTCGAGACTGCTTCCCGAAGGGCGATCGCACTTTGAACACTGTAGCTCTCTGGCATTTATGAGTTCAACCCTATGTAAACATTTTTCCTTCCTCTTCTTCTGCATTTGCAAGAAGCATGTGTGATATATCAGCTTAACTCTGAGACACCAGGTGGCAGCACATTTGCGTGATCGAAACCAATTACATTGCTTTATATGGAGTGCGATGAGATCGCGCTGCTTCCGTTCTTCCTCCATACTTGGCAAACATGTTGTTAGACGTTCGCAACAAGGCAAACCCTGCCACACCAGCAACGTTCACCAAATTCACGATATATGCCCATACATTGTGTTTTGAATAGGATAGATCCGTAAGATCTCCGCAAGAGCTGGATCTAAGCGTGCGTAGGCCGCCGCATGATACATACTTGATTGGCACGCCTGCTTTGATTTGCGCGTCGAAGCAACACAGAAAAACGAACGAATATATCATGCGGCGGCGTATGCACGCTTAGATCAAGCTCTTGTGGAGATCTTACGGATCTATCCTATCCAAAAAAAAACAATGTATGAATATATATTATAATGGCAAATGCCATTTGATTTGCGATGAACAGTATACGTCACGGACGAAACAATTTACTGTGTTGTTGTTTGATGAAATGTAAATTGTTGTGTCAACAAATCTACATGAGTTTCATATTGGCCCATACAGAATACATCATTTCCCATACAAAATACTTTGGGGTCCAAAAGACCCCGTTGTGCTTTTACGTTAGTATTTTGTATAAGACTTCCCAAAACTTCATTTATGCACCAAACATTGAAATTTTTGATTTTATCACATAGATATGATATTAAAAAAGAAAACGCTCAGCGAAATTTTCCAATTTTTTTTTATATTTTTGTGATTTTTTCAAAAAACTAACTCTTAGGGCCTAAGAGACCCCACGTGTGCGTTTGAGGGTTAATTGCTGACATGTGGAAGTTTAGAGCTTTAAGCCAAGAAAAAATTCCGAATCCCCTATATAAATTACTAATCCAGCTATTCCGCTAATCCAAAAACACAAATGTGAAATCGAAACAATTTTTCTTATTCCATGCAATGTTTCCGTCAAAAATGTTAATTCTGCTATTCCGCACTATTCCACTAATCCATCAATAAACGTCAAAAGAAATGTCGAATGGATTTGAAGTGAAACAATTTTTGCTATTCCATGCACTGTTTTGCTATTCCACCCGAATCCATTCACATGCGTTGCTATTTCATTGCAATTTTTCGAATCTTTACACTAAAAGTCTTATCCTATTCAATGTGTCTGCCCCCTAGGATTCCATGGTATGTTCAGTTTGCAATCCTTTGCTTGCAGTTAAAACCACCAACAGAATATGAAGTGAAACAGCACAAATGGTATAAAATAAAAACGGCAACGATCTTAAGAGATTACGACGAATGTGTGGCCGAAATATTAAATAACTGGAAACACATATCGTTTGGAATGTACGCGTAAATTGTTTTCAAAATGCTTCAAATTCACACGAATATACACTGGTTTTGGATCTATTCATTCTGTTTGCTGTAAGCTCTTCAAATGACTAATTGAAAAAATCTATCCTCCTTTAATTTCAAGTAAATTGCATTATTTGATTAACGAATTTAATTAGCGAATGCTTTTAATGGAATTTAATCTGATACACATATTGTGAAGAAAAATAATATGGTAAGTTGGAAGTAAATGTTTACCAAAGGCATTTAAAACTACCTTTGAGTGCAAACAAGTTTTCATTTTTTATAAAAATAAGCTTTACTAGACAATTGAATTCACTTTTAGGAAATATGTATAGTAGTATACATAAGATAAAGCAAACAATTTAGTGATGAAACTTTTATAAACTCGTATACATTTTTTAGTTTTCATAACATTTCATGTGTCTTATGTGTATGTATGCTATTTTAAAAGTAATAAAGAGCGGGAATGCGTCACCCGTAACGGGTTAAACCTTAAATAAATTTTATAATACACAACTGATAACAATTTTTCATGTTTCCATTTGAATAAATATTAAATACTACCATTTTGCTATTGCAGATGAAAATCCAGTAGTCAATATGATCGTTTTATCATTAATTTGCCTTAATTAGCTATCAAATTAAATTCGAAGTGGACTATTCCAAAGAATTTTCCAAGTTATCTAATTTTCTTCGACAGAATTTAAAGATTCCAAGGTTAGCTATATGGGATAAAAAGTAATGTGCAATTCGATTCTCTATATCCTCAAAGAGAGTTGCATATTTCTTTTTTTTACGATTTGAGAAGTTAGATGCGATTAGACTGAAATTTGAAATGATTTATTTTATGAATTGAAAGCTAAAACTAAAACTAAATGTGAAGTCAACGCTTAAATATTGTAAGAACAATCGATTTATAAAGATAAGAATGTGCCGTTTCTATTAAATAAAAACACATTTTTTCTATAAGTTTATGAATATTTATTTTGTAACAATTACCACTTCAATTAATTGTGTTTAAATATATATTTTATATAAAAAGAACGCAAATGGCGATTCAAAAAATACAATTGGAAAAATGCATTGTAAATTGTATAACCAAATTGGTTTGTGTATCCTATTATGAAGACCGAAAAAAAAAAATAAAGTGGATTTGAGTCCCTACGATTACAGCATTAATATCGAGAATATTTTATTGGAATTGAAAGTAAAGCTTATGATAAAGAAATCTATACGGCTGCCTTTATTCCTTCCATAGTACATAACACGTTCAGCCCAACATTAATTTTTTTTCCAACTTTTTTCCAATCTCAATTTTCCATGATTCTCAATAGAAAATATCCTTTTAACACAAAACAAAAAAAAATCAAACTTGTGTAAAAAGAACGAACATATCACAATACAATGTTTTTTTTTATTGTTTTTGTTGTTGATCATTTGTGCCATTTGCTCCAATAAATTCATTATTGTTTACTTTATTAGAACTACTGTTCGATGAATCTTTTACGGATGTTAGTGATTTGGTTCTTTTATTGGGGCTATTTGGATTTTTTGTTGGTGACAGTATCAGTCATTCATCTTTCGATTTTTCCGATGCTGTACCGGAAGTTTCTGTGGAACTTATGTTTGTGATGTTTTCGGGTTTGTTAACTTTGGCCGATTCACTGGATTCTTCTTCTTCATCTGAGTAGCTATTTGGCTCTTCTCCGGGTCTCAACAAACGGCCGACATATTCGTATTTTTCTGAAAACAAAATTGATCATTTTAATTTGAATGGTAATTTAATCGGAGATTTTTAATTGGAAATTTAAATAAAAAAATGTTTAAAAGAATAGTTTACCTTTAAATTGCATTTCCCATTCACGAACCGATTCCATTTCCATAGTATCCAAATCGCTTAAATCATCGTATTCTTCAGTGTCAGAGCTAGTTACGTTGAATGTAGCTAATCCACGGGATGCATCGCGACCACCGAATGCGGCATATGGTCCGCCTATGAAAAAAAACAAGTAAATGCAAACAATTGAAATATCACAAGACCAAAAAAAATTTATAAACAATTTCAATTTTAATGAAAATATATTCCTATTATATGCGAACTCCTATAAAATTGTTTTTATATTTTTATTAGTTAATCAATGTAATTGAAAGGCGTGCCAACCAATTGGATAATTGAATGAGCTAGAATAAAACCCGACTTGAAATAAAAAATAAAAGAGGAACACAGCTTTTTTTATATGTGCACAATCGGTGTTCCACTTTTATCGGTTTTTATTTCAAGTCGGGTTTTATTCTAATCCAATCAATTGTCAATTCATTTTTTTCATTGTCATGTTACATCAATACTAGCTTTAGTACAAAGAAAATAGTATATATTGTGTTCTAGAATAAGTAACAAATAAATTGCTACTTTCCAATGTGCGAATAATATTTTCAGTTCCGATAGTTAACCTTTAGCCCAGCATTTTTTAAAGAAAATTACGCATATGGTATATATTTGAATTCAATTCTGGACTAATACATTATTTATTTGAATTCAAATTGTTTGTCTCTTTTTTGGCTTGGTCATACTTGTGGCGCGTCTGTTGTCGATTGTTGAAAAAAAGGTATAAAAGGTTCCAATTTTCGAATTGATATTTACATTTGTTTTGCGAATTTTTCAAGTACAATAAATATAGAACTATAGAACAAATACGTGGATCTATTTATAACACCGATAATAAAATAGTTAAAATTTGACCTTTGATCATCACTCAACGCTTCATTTTAATGTTTATGATTTCCAAAAGACAACATAACGAATCGAATAAATTAACATGTAAATTTTAATATGGTTTTTACTCCAGTCAATTCATTTATTTCACATATTTCGTCGATAGATCGACATTCTTGATAAATGATTCATATTGAGTATTATTGGAATTTTTCCAAACTCAATTCAGTTGATGTAATAATCTAACTAAATTATCAAATGTGAATTACTTTGTTTTCTTAATTTTGTTATTGTATTATCCTCTCAATTAAAAAAAATGTCTAAAAGACCTTATTACCCACAATTGCCTATTATTTCTAGTGTCATTCATTATTATTGACAGGTAATTCGAATGTTTAATGTGACATTCGCTTAAATTTATAACAAAAGATTCGAAGTACCAGTAATGTGATTTTCTTTGAAAATGAACGTATTTAAGCTGGCGATAAATAGATTCAGAACGTTGATAAGATAACTGTATGCAGTATCACGTCTTAAAGCAATATTTTGCCAACTTGCGGTGAGCATTTGTTTCTTTCCTCCCATGCGAATGAATCACAATGCCAATTATTTGAAATGAACAAAATTCATTTGAATTTATGACCTAGCTTTATAAAGAGAAGAGAAAGCTGTCGGCAATTTTTTGCAGCCACATTAATGTGCGTGTACATTCCGATAAGAGTCTAGTATACAAACAATCATGTATTTCATTATTATATTTAACAAAAATCGTTCCATACCCAATGATAACGAAATATTTTCATTTAATTTAGAATAAGAATTAAATTTTTGCAACATTTACCATATTTGTGGCAGTGATAAAAACAGAATTAATCTTGATATTCTGCGATTTTGCGAAAACCAGTTAAAAGTGAAATTCATTATCACTTCGAGATTAATAAGGAAATTTACAATATTATCAAGATAAATAGATCTTCTTATGAATTTTCGCTTTAAAGTCATGATGAAACCAAGATATGTATTCATTTTTTTCTTTTACTATCGGCATTATTCCGATGGCTGAGTGTAAATTAAGTCTAACCTATGAAATGGTTGTTTTATTACACGATAACCGGTTTTATTCAGCCTTTACTCACTTAGTTAATATTTATATGATATTAATATACAGTTTGAAAAAATACCAGAACTGAATATCTCATTGGAGCTCAATTAAAATTATGCTTACACATACAAAGTATGTATGTTCTTTCCGAGAAAGTCAATCATATTACGAAATCGAGAATATTTTGTGGGTCTTTCATCACAATGCCGCACCGAATAAATAAGCATGAAATTTGCCTAATATTTTCCCCACGTTGAAAAGTATTGCAGTAATGAATTTGAATTTCTAACATAGAATTACTTATACTATAAACATATACAATACTAATTTTGTTGACTGAATCAATGACAGCAGTATCTATTTTGTGTTTATATCATTGTTGAAAAAAGATATTTATATATATCATTGTTGTTGTTTGATTTATAGTGATTTGTCAGCAGCTCCCAATTTTAAAATTGATATGAATTTCAAAAACTTGCGACCAAATTACCACAGCGATTTCAAATCTACTACATACTACATAATATTACCGATTTCAATATGTTGGTAGTAAAAGAAATCTAAATAACCATCAATAATAATCTGATAAGGTTTGAAATTGTCACTGTCGGCGCGTTATGATTTGGAAAATTCGTTTGAAAAAGTCCACATTTTTTTATAGTTTGGCAACGTAGATAGTACACCTACGTCAGTATTACATGGCAGAAACAAATCGACGCAAATCGAACATGCTGACACTTCCCAAATTCATTTTCCTGTTATTTTATTCGTATTTGTTATTTCCATCGTTGCACGGTATAGCACTGAGCTATGCACTTAATAAAAGTTAATAACTAATTCACGTTTTTTTCCCTTCCTATCATTCTTCATTTTGTACAGCACATTTTTATACCTGATATGTGAAAGCAATTTCAATCCACTTTTGCAAAGCAATGAAACGTAGCAAATTGTAAATTAACACATACACACTTTGAAGTGCAATCAAGCGCTTCAAAGTAATGTTCGATGTTACATTTGGTTCCTATTTTCATCATGTCATTGGACAGTACATAAACTTAAAAAAAATATGTGTTACTTGTTCAATAAAGTCCATAATTGTCTTACCTGGACCGTAAAACTTGCGACCTTTGGTCACCTGAAATAACAAAAAAAACCAGCATATTATGGATTTTGTCTCTAATTAAAAGTCATTTAACTAATGGAAAAATTCAAATGATATATAATTACTATGAATACGTACATCATATACATGACCATTAACTGCAACTAACACTCTACCATCCGGCTGATTGCCATCGAATTTCTTGAGCTCTTGTACGGTAAAGTCCTTTCGAAGTTTCGGCAATTCGGGCTCGGGTGGTACATTTGGTGGGCCGGTGTCTGAACGACTTTTTATTATTTTATAGATGAGAAATGCAATTAAAGACACTAACAGTAGATTGAGCGGACTGTGGATAATTTCGGCAATAATGCTGCCAACGAAGCTGGTTTCATTGACATTGCCACCTTCAGTTGATGTTGATTCCACCATATTTTTTTTCTTACTGAGGTTTTTTTTTCGTTTGAATTGTTAAATGGCGAAATTTGAGTTTATACTTTCACAACAGCTCACGATGACGATGTAGAATAGAATAATAAAGAGTTCGCACGAACACAAACACAACAGAAATGCACCAAGTTTTTAAAAAATATTTTTGCTTTTACTAGAATTTCGATCTGAACAAAGAATATACAAAAAGTGTTTTTTTTTGTTCGTTTTCTACATTTATACCGTATACAACTACTTTATGATGTGAAATAAAAATTTATTTTGTACTTATTCAATGAAGTGGGCTATCGTCGTTTTCTAGCACGTAGTTAATTTAGAAAACGTCATTGGTGCGCTGAGGTCTTATCCACTTTGTTGCTATTCTACAATATACATTCATCGTTCACTTGTAATGACTTTCGGGTCTTCTACGCTTCGGCTATTATTCGCGCGTATGTACATAGCAATGACAGCGTTTCATTCAGTTTCTTTGTTTACATTATGGATGTATTTACGCATCGGGTCCGACCAAATACTTCAATTGAATATGTTGATAAAACAGAATATCTACGAGATTTTATTAAAAAAATTTGAAACAATTCGTCAAGTTTTTTATTCTAAATAAATAAATAAATGTTTGTTGATACGGAGATTTGTTGTGGGAATAAATAAATTAAACACAAATATACAGCATCGAATACTCAATCTTTAAGTACAATACGGAGTGCCTGATGGTTGTCATAGTATAGCAGCTGTCAAAAACTGCTTGAAAAAAAAACAAAACATAAAATTGGGCGATTAGCAATATTACCATTTAAATAGCAGCCGCTCAGCCATTTCGAGATTTTTTTACGGGAAAATTTTAAAACTGTGTCCAATTCGTTTTGAATGAAATAAAGTTGAAAATAGTTCGATTGAAAGTTCCAAAGAGTAAATCCAAAGAGTAAATTTAAATATTTTTTACAATGTATTTATACGTGAAAATTCTTTGCTTTTGTTTGATTGTAAAGAATATTTCCATCCCTAATCCAATGTTCCGTATTCAAAATGAGAGTGAATGTTTTTGCCATGGCATTTTCAATCCATTTCTATGAATTATTTCATGGTTGTAGTCTTTTTTGTATTTTAAATTCAATTCTGTTTTCTAGGCAATAAAAAAAGAATCGAAAATTTGAGCGCCAAACCATACCAAGAAAGAAATAAAGAGTCTTACGGGAGTAAGACGAACTTTTCCGCACGGTGGTAGTTGCGTATTTTATTAAGAAAGTTCAAAATAATATTTGCTCGATTCTTCAAGTCTTTCAAGCGGCGTAAAGTTCGAGACCAAAAAATATTTTTCAACTTTGGCAACGAAATATTCTTTAATTTAATAGCAGAAGTACCCGAGAAAAGATTTTCACACTTTCATGATGAACCCATTTGTACGACATTTGAAAGTATTCTATTTTCTAACAAAATACTATAAAAATATGTCTGACGTTAATTTTGCCATAAAGATTATTTTTGAAACTCTTTTCATAACTAAAGTCACAACAAATTTGGATTTTTGTATGGGAGCCATGTCTGTATGCTACCTTAATGGCGTGAAACTTTGCACAGGTTATTTTTTTCACAAATAACATTCGGAGGGTTTGGAGAAATTTCAACCAAAATCAAGAGTACCTCCCATACAAAATATTCGTTTTTGAGCCAATTGAAAATTTTGTATGGGAGGTACCCCTAATTTTAATTGAAATCTCTTCAAATTTTCAGAATGTTATACTTTTGTGTAAAAAATAGTCTGTGCAAAGTTTCACGTCATTAGGGTAGCATACAGGCATGGCTCCCATACAAAAATGCAATTTTTTGTGATTTTTTCGAGAAAACTGTATCAAAAATTGATTGTATCTCAAAAATAACGTCGGATTCGGTTTTCTCGTGCCAAAAAACCCCCCAATACATATTTTTGAGTGTTTAAGTCTACATTAAGTATGACTTTTGGACGAAAATTGGACTCTTTTTCATAGGTATCACTCCAAGCATGGAATTTTTTTCCATCAACCAAAGTCCGTGAAGTCAGATTTCAAATAACTTTTCTGGGTGGTGAGAAAATCGATGGACAAATTTTGCGTACGGCGGACAACGTACGACGTACGACGTACGACGTGGAAGCGACCCACAACAACCATGCTCAAAACGGCCTGATTCGGGTTCTCTGACCTCAGAAACGTCCAGAAAACATGTTTTTGAAGTTTCGTAAATTTTGACCTATTGCAATACTTTCCCCTTTCACACTAGGTGTGTGCGGAAAAGTAAGAAAGAAAGAGAGAGAGAGAGTACGAGTTTGGTTAAACGAACGTGCGAGCGAAAATAAAGAAAAAGAACTATTTGCATTTTGTTTGATGTAGTGACATTGTGAATATTAACAGGAGAAAACAAATCTGTTAACCAAACTGTGTGATACCTATATCTCATTATATGGAATTTAAAGACACCTTTTAATTGAACCTGTGTGAAAAATAAGAAGTACGAAAGAACCGTTGTGCGAGAGATAGAAAAAAAGAGAATGTGAGTATCAATTATGAACTATTTGCTTTTATTTTCTTACTTTATATTAACAAAAACAAATCCTAACAAAATTTTACACAAAGAAAAACCACACGCAAGTTTTCCCACATGTTCTTTATGTTTTATGTTTTTCCGAATTCGCATCATAAGAACAGCGGTTTTGATTGCTTGTTACGTGTGATTTTCGTTTTATGTGTTTTCATTTACTGCTTTTACTTTAATTTTATAATTGAATAGTTTGTTTTTTGTTTGTGGCGAAGTGTTTTCGAATTTTAGCCAAAATGTCGAACCAATTTGTCCTGGTGGCTAAAAAGGAAGGAGGCGTGTCACGTCTATTACCAACCAGAAGTGACGGTACCTTGGTATGTAATCATATTGTGTACACGCGATAAAAGTTATTTTATAAATGAATAAATATATTTGTTTTTAATTTATAGTTACTGGAAACACTGCAATCTCAATTCCCAGGATCAACTGGTTTAATGTATCGAGCCGCAGTGGGTGAAAACTTTTATGGCATTCTTCTCGCTGAAGGAAAACTGCATCCCCCAGTGAACCAAGACTGGGGAAATCTGAAATATTTGTGTGTATTCCCAGAAAATAAAGAGCTTCCATCGGAAACTGCAAATATTTGGTGTGAGCGAATTCTAGGTTTGTTACTATTTGTTGTTATAGCATTAGTAATCAATCACTTTATTCCGAAAATTGCAAATTATGCATAAAAAATAAATTATATGAACACAATATTAGGGGAGAGTCACGTAGGTTGAGACGGCACGTAGGTTGAGACACCCCGAAATTTTTTTGTTTGACAGCTGGCAGACATGTTATTTGTACTGTCAAGTTGTTGAATCATTGTTAGTAAACTTTTCGTAGTGTATTGACGTGTTTTCACGCACTCCTTGTATGTGAGCCAGAGCACCCAAAAAAAATTTCGGAAAAAAGTGATTTCAAAAATTTGACCAAAGTAAAAAAAATTGCCATTTTTTGTGGTACAAAAAGGTGAGCATGACATTTACATTACAGTTTTTGTTGTATTTTAACAATCCGAAGAAATTCCGAACATATCTTGTGTTGAACCAAAAATACAGCGTCATGCCAAAATGGCGGCAAATCACGTGGGTTGAGACACTTTGAGTCACGTAGGTTGAGACAGTATATGACGCTATGTATTTTGGTGGGAAAACACCAGAAATGTCATTTTATCTTTGTTTGTGTTCGGAATTGCAATTTGACGTTCGTGTAAAGTGATTTGTTTTCAAGTTATCACATTTTTCTTTGAATTTATCGACATTCTCTGCATGCAAAAAACACACTGAAGAAGTTCAACGACGAATTTGTGTTGAAACAAGCGAACTTGACGTGGGATTAAACGTTGAAGTGTCAACTTCAGAAGCAACAACGTCAGCCGCACCATCTGTGGCAACAACATCGGCCGCACCATCTGTGGCATCAACATCAACCACATCAATGGGCTCTCGTTCCGAAAGTTTGTCGTCAATACTGAGCGATATTGGTCCAGTTCAACAAGGTTCACTGCGAAAGAAATCAAATCGTGGCCGTAAGCCAGGAACGAGCACAGTTGAATCGTTGCGGCGAAAGAGTAGCTCTTATTTTTCTCCAAATAATACTGCAACATAAAGTTTTTTATGAATAGTTTATTTGTTGTATTACAACAAATAAACCGTGTGAAAAAAACTTCATGTTGCAGTATTATTTGGAGAAAAATAAGAGCTACTGTTTCGCCGCAACGATTCAGTTCTAACATCACCTGAAAGTGTTTCCAAACTCAAGGAAAACCAACAAAAACGTATCGAGGCTGCAGAAAAGAAGGAGAAAGGCGCAATAAAGCGAAAGGGCTCATCACCAAAAGCAACACCCAAAAAGCGATCACAGCCAACACGGGCCGCAAAGAAAAAATCATCATCAACGTCGGACGAGGATATCGATTTTTGCACGATCTGCATGCAAAATGTGCCATCAAAATTGACCAAATGAATGGGGTAGAATAAAAACTACTTCTCGAAAAATTGCTATTTTAAAACGAAACCTAAAAAAAATTCAATAAGAAGTGAATCAATTTTTTTTTGTCCAATTGAAGTGAACCAAAAAAAATTTTGTTCAATAAAAGTGAACCAAAAAAAAAATTTCACTCGGTTTTTTCAGTGTAAAATACACTAAAATGATTTTTTTTTTTGAGTTCACTTTTATTGAACAAATTTTTTTTGGTTCACTTCAATTGGACGAAAAAAAATTGATTCACTTTTCATTGAAAGTTTTTTTTTGGTTTCGTGTTTAAACATTATTCGAGAAGTAGTTGTTATTCTACCCCATTCAAATCGAACTCAATTGAATGTAATAATTGCAAGCGGCTATTTCATTTGAAATGCGTCCATATGACACGCAGTTACTACACTTGTCAAAATTGCGATTCTGATGCTGATCTCACGGATTGATTAAGAATTCATGAAATTGTCAACTTTTTTATCATTTTTTTGTGGCGGAGGCCTTCATAATAAAGAAATAAACAATAACCACTCAAAATATGGCGTCTAAACTTTATTTTATTCAACCCATTTTCAATTACTCATAGTGTCTCAACCTACGTGCCAAATTTTTGGGGGGCCAAAAATCATATGTTTGGAAAATTGACCAAAACTTTTGTGTTCTTGGAGATACACAACTACTTCTTTGGGCAAAGCTGTAGCTCGGAACAGTACCTTTCCAACGGTATATAACTTTCCTTGATAAATTGTATAAGTAAAAAAAAATGACCAAAAAACAAAACCCGTCTCAACCTACGTGACTCTCCCCTACAAATAATCGAATGTTTACAATGCGTCAACT